GGCAGTCAGCCATGTGACAGGCAGTCGGTCATTATTTCGCACTTTTGTTGCCACTGCGGAAATTTCACAGCAAGAAGAAGCAACAGCAGCAACAGCAGCATCAGCAGCAGCAACATGCGACACGTGCAACAGCGGAAGTCGAGAGTCTGGGCGATACTGTGTGCAACGCCAACGCCATAACAATAATGCCCACAACAAAGATATGGAGTCGCTGACAAAAAAAAAATACCTATAAAAAAAGGGAAAAACTGCGGGAGTCAGGTGGAAAAGATGCAAAAGTCGGGAGCAGACAAAATGGAATTTTAATGATATGAGAAGGCGCGCCATCGGAATATTTTTGCAGGTGAAGCTGCTTACCAGCCTGACGTTTCCCCCTCCCCTCCCCCTCTTTTTCCACCGCCCCTCTTCTCCACTCTTCCCACTCCATTATCCTTTGACCCCGCGTAGTACAACCGGCACTTGAACTACGCCGCTTACTACGCTCTTGGCGCTCTTTTCGGTTTGTTTTTCTGGTTGAGTTTTATTTTTCCTGCGGCTCTGGCGCAGGCGAGTTGGCCAAAACGGGCGAAAGAGAGAGGTTAAGAGAGCATAAGCTGTTGGCAAGCCGGCAAAAATAGAAGAAAAAAGTTGGTTTAAATAGGAACACAAGGTTTTAGACTGAAACTAGAATTTTCAACTGGAAACATAAATGGTTCTCATGCACATAAATCCATAATAACTGTGTAACAACCAAAACATAATTGAAGAAGTTTATATTCAACTAAATAGTTTTTTAGAAAGAGTTAAAAACTGTGAATGAAACTCACACTTGCCAAAGTAGTTTGGTGGTATTATTCACATAGTTCCGGGCTCTCGTATACGTATTTTCTAATCATTTTTGGAGAACCCTTCCTTGAAACCCCTTCTTTTACATATCACAAACACAAAGCACAAAGGCGCACTCACACCATCGCAAAATCGGCAACCGCCATGTGCGCCTGGCGGTATGCAATAGTTTCTGTTTCTCTTTCGACGCCGCGCGGTTGAGTGAGAGTGTGTTTGTTTTATTCCGTGTCCGTGTTAGCCGAGCTTGTGTGTGTGTGTGCGGGCTAGCCGACACCGACAAAGTGCAACACACAGCGCAATGACCGACGTACTCGAGCGTTGACTCGTTTCTGCGAAAACTTTTCTCGCTCCTCGCCCGATGCGAATAATGATCTCAACGTAATGACGATTTTCAGCAGCCAGTAAGCTTGTTGATGCTCCGCCGATGACGTTGCGAACTAGCTCTCTCCCTCTCGCGCTAATCCCTTCTCTGTCCCACACTCTCTCGGCCATTTTGCGGAAGCTTCAACTCACCGCAAAACGCTCCAAAATGAGCAGCCAAATTGCGAGTTCCTTCCTTAATTGCGCACTCGTATCGTTTTGCGAATTTTCTTCCCTTCGACACTTTTCTCTTTCGTATAACACTTGTATGCTCTTATACTCCCCGTTTATAGCACGCATTTCCCCGGTGACGTCACAAAGGCTTTCCCAACGCTTTTCCTCTAGAAGCCGTCGTTGTTTTGGCTGCACAAGCCGGCAATGTAAACAAAACATAAAATATATGAATGGGTGAGTGAGTTGGCCGGGTGCGAGTGCTTGGGTGTTGTTTGGTTGGGTGGTTGTGAGTGTTTGGGTGTTATGGGTGTTATGGGTGTTTTTGGGTGGCAATTGGAGCACCCCGATGCATTGGTATTGGTGCAAATTCGGCAATGCGTGTGCGCTGCGCCTGATGAATGAAAACTCTGGCTGGCGGCGAGGAAAGCGGGAAAACATCTGAGCAGCAGCTGCACGGTCATGTGTTTCGAATTATGCCACTTCAAAGCTATAATCAGAATAATAATTGTTTGGATATGAATGGAGTGGTAATATTGAAAATTACAAGCCTTCTTGTTTGGAAACTCTCGAGGAAATAATAACTATACTAACGATAATAATAACAATACAAATAATGAAAATAATGGAATGATATTAGAAATCTTCAGCATATTATCTAGTTAATTTAATTAGTTTCCCCAAAGCAGCAATTATTAAAGCAATTCTTGGACTGTTTTGGTGGCCTGTAAAATGAAGGCAAGGTTTTTTTAATACTAAGGTTCGGGGCACGAAATGTAAGCATTCGTTGCAGCTTTCAGTCTTGCAGACAAATGCAAAAACGATTGACAGGCCGTGTCAGAAGGCACACGAAAATCGAGTGAGCCGAGAGCAATCGCATTTTAATTTGAATTCTTTCTGGCAAGGCTCTAACAAAAGCCCCCAATGCGATGTGCACGACCAAAAAATGAACTTAAGTTTCGGCCAAGAATCTTGTTGAAGAATTTCTATTTGAGCATTTGTCATGTCTTCGCCTTAGTCTATAAAATATATATTCTCGGTGGGGTGTGTGCAAATATGCGAAAGCTAAATGTCAGAGTCAACCCTTTCGAGCCATTCCGCCTGGTTTTTTTGAACCCCTTTTCTTACCAGCTAACTGGTGTTGTTGGCCCTTTTCGGGTGGAAAGGAAAGTTTTTATCTTAAGCTGCGCTGACAGGCAGCAAAGCGGCAAGCGAAGCAACACAAGTACACGCCGGACAAAGGAGTCGACGAGAGGGTGGGGGGTTGGGTGGAAAATGGGAAATGGAAAACGCTCCTGGCAGGGGGACAGTGGCAAACGTCAAGTTATAGAAAATGCTAGGGCCTGCACAATAAAAAAAAGTGTCACCAAAAATTGCTAATCAATGAGGTTTTTATCAGGAGGTAAAATAAATATTAAAGAGTTAAAACTATTAATAATAAGAAACAAATATAAATCTGTTAATTAAAATAAAACTTATAACAAACAAAGAATATTGTATATACATATTTCATTTGATTACAAGTCATAATCACTTAATTTTTTTTGGTACAAGTTCTCACTTCTTAACATTTTATTTATTTCTTTTTACAATTTAATAATCATATGAATACACCCCTTTTATTTATTCTCAGTGCACAAAAAGGAGAATAGAACTGGTCTTGGGGGGAGAAAAAATTAAAGGACATGCTGAACGCATTCCTTGGGACACGGGCTGACAGTGAGTGATTTGACCATACCCTCATTTGCGTGCAGCAAGGACCAAAGACCGTAGTTGAGCCCGAGATCCGAGTGCCGAGATCCCAGGCACCAATGGATTAATGTGCAAGGATGCGACTCGCCAGGCAGGCCAAGAAAATTACGTCAAGCTACGCACTGGGCCCGCTTTTTACCCCCAGAATCCCTCCCTCAGTCCCCACCCCCTCCCATTACCACTTACCCGCTTCTACTTACTTGGAAATCTGATGATGAGCGCCGACTGCTGCCGGCGGGCGACTCGAAATGGGAGTGGCTCATTTACGCGCTGCACTCGAGTTTCACCAGCAGCCGAAGGAAAAGCGCCGCTCCGACAACTTTTCCCAAGCTATTTCTGCGCCCAAATGACAGCGAAATGTAATAATGAAAAACTTTTTCTTTGTCAACTTGATGAGTATGAAATTTTTCAAAAAAAAAAAAACAAAAAAAAAAAACAGACAAGATTAAATAAAATAAAAGAGGACAAGAAAGGATGGGAATGGTAAAGGGTTAGGCGGTGCGGCGAGCTAGAAATATGAAACGTCAGGACTTGGCCAACTGAACAGTTGGTCCTTGGTTAGCCTTCGAGATTAGTTATGGCAAAGGAATTTCCAGGCGAAGGCGCACGCAAATGATTGCATGCCGCATTACGCATACGCCCGGTTGTGCGTGGCGTGTTTTAAAATTGAATTTTAATATACAGCAGACACAAAGAGATGGCTGTCCAGTACTTGTTCGTTCTATAAGCCAGGTTGCCCTTCGTCCCCTTTAAAAAAACACATGTTCCGCATTTTTACTTTGTACTGGACAAGAGAGAGACGAGAGGTAACATCCTGTATCATCCCACCGTTTTGCTGCACCGCATCCAGGATTGCGGAATTCATAAGCTATGTGCGTTTGCTACAGAAGTGGAATTTTCGCCACGGCAAAGGATACCCGCCTTCCCAGCTCTCAGTTCCCAGTTACCAGTAACCAGTTCGCTGTTTGCAGTACCAGGATCCCGGGCATGCCATTAACCCACTCGCAAAAAGCGCAAAATCGCTTAAATTATTGTTACAAGCTGCCACTGCCGAGTGGCAACAACAAGGGCCAAGTGGCAAGTGGCAAAGGGGCTGAGGGACAAGCCGCCTGAGCTTTTGGCCGCGCTTTGCTTTGAGTGCCAGTTAGCATAACTCCGTTGGCCGCAGGCGAATATGTCTGCTGTTGCCGCTTTTGCTTCTGCTCCTGATATTCCTGCCGGTTGCTGTGGGTGCTGCTCCTGATTTTGCTGTTGCCGTTAGAAATATTTCCGCCGAAGCAGCAAAGGACATCCTTTCACCCGCCCGCCTTCACCTGCTTTTCACCTGACTGCTGCCAACGCCAAACGGGAGCAGAGAGCAGAGAGCTGCGAAAAGTGGCTAAAAGTGTCTCTGGTGGGTGTTACCTAATGCCTGAATGAAAACACTATGAAAAGACGAAAAAATTAAGAGGAAAATATTACAACATGTACTCTCTTTTTATGCTTCAGACGAGCAGTTTCATACAAGGTGTACCAGTAGAAAAAATAGACAAAATAAATACAACAATATAGCAAAGAAAGAGTATCTTTAGAAACAGCATAACAAATTAAAAACAAAAAATAGAAATATCATCGATTAGACATTCAATCATAATCAACCTGCTCTTCAAAGGTTTTCTCTTGTTTAAAAAAATTTATAAAGTCAAGCGAACAAGTTTTGGACTAATCTGATATTAATTCCCACGCTACTCAAGTTCTTATCAACGATTTAGTGAGCATTTTTAAAATTCTCTTAATGGTGAAAAAATCTATTTAAAGAGCGAGGTGATAATAATAAAAAAATGCCCCAGCCGAACCAAATCTTATTAATACTTCAAGCACTTTGCTTATCAACAAAATCAAGAATTGCGCAATTACATGCAGCAGTAAGTAATCAGTACATTTATTATAAACAAAATACATAAGGAACGAATTGCACTCTTTCACCAATATTATATACTAATATTTAATTGTCGATATCGGTGAACTTGAAGGGGAATGGAATGGCCGGTTCCATGATGAACATGGTTTTGTAGGGTTTGCTGGCATCCCGATTGAACTCCACCTGGAAGTTGCGGATCAACTTGGCCACACTCGTCTCGATTTCCAGATCCACAATTCTCTTGCCGATGCACATGCGAGGACCAAATCCGAAGGGCAGGAAGGTGAAAGGACTCACCTGGGACTTCTTTCCCGTTTCGGGATCTCTGAGCCAACGCTCGGGAAGAAATTCCTCTGGTCGGGAATAGAAAGTGCTGTCCTTCATGAGCACATTGGAGCCCAAAAGAACAGTGGTTCCCTTGGGAACATTGTAACCCGAAAGAACCACATCATTTTGGCAGGATCTCATGGTTCCCAAGCTATTGGGATAATATCTGATGGCCTCTTTGATTACCGCCCTTAAATATGGCATATCCTTCATGGTCTCCTCGTTGAGAAGAGTGTCCTTGGTAGGCATAATCTTCAGGAGTTCTTCACGTAGCTTGGTCTGTTTTTCTGGATGTTTCGATAGACAAAGCAGAACTGCCGAGAGAAGGGTAGAAGTGGCATCCACGCCGGCGAAGAGGGTGTCCAAACCCATGACCACCGCAACTTTTGGATCGATCTCCATCAGCCGCTCCATCATACTGTTGCTGTTTATTTTCTCCCCCGCCTGGCGTCGTTTTTCCAGGTCATCCTGGCTTTCCTTCAACAACTTAAGGGCAACATCCAAACTGCCGTTGAGTGCTTTCATCATTTTTCTGTAGGTGGGCGTCGACACAACCTTCCACATCGAGGGCTGAAAATCCAGCAGTTTGCCCCACTCCTCATTTTGCCTAAACAATTGAAGGGTTTTTATGTTGAGGATGATACGGTTGAAAACGGCTTAACTTACGAGGAAGTCAATCCTTGGACCTCGCCATAAACATCTGGTCTAACGTGTTTCCGGAAGTATACAAGCGACTCAAAAGTATCGCGAACAGGCCAAATTCCCTCATTTCGAAAAACCGTTTCAATATCTTTCGTGCTGAAAGTAGTAACCCAATCCGGGCGTCCAAACATTCCGGGCAATATGAATATGTCACCGTAGCGCTTTCGCAACGCCGTTGTATAATCCACTATGGATGCATTGTAAAACTCTCCTCCCGGCATGAAAGCCCTCATGAATTTGAATTTCTTGGGGCGTGGAATGTCATCAAACGACTTCAAATCCTCAGCTGTCTGTAATAGGCTTTTGTTCTCAGACTTCCAAAATGATAATTAGATTTTATCAACTTACATTGGCATTCACCTGACTTTGTGCCACAGCGGAGACAGATCTCATCGATCGAATGGGACCTGTACATATCGCCAATGACCGTGCATTGCTCAAGGTGTTCATTCTGGTGTTCGACTTAGACTGAAAACCTGTTCCCTTACGAATGCGTTCTTATAGACAAATCTTATCTCTAAAACGTAAATTCAGGGAGAGAAATAAACAGAGAGAACCCCACTCAAAGTAAAGCTCCCAAACAATATTAAACATTTAGCAAACACAGCATGACTTTCAGTTTCTTATCAAATAAACGGTCTATCACCCTGAATTGCCTACCTTGCTCAGCAAAATATCAGACAAAATATAAACATAAGCGTGAGAAGTGGAATAACCGGTCAAAACGGCAATTATAACGCTGAGTCTCCTATACTTCATACATATGTTTAGAATGTAAAATTTTCTAAATTTGGAATAACATTTTTCTAAGTTTAGTACAATATATAAACAAATAAAAGTGTGTTTAAATAAAATCTAATAAAAACATCAATCCTGTAGAAATGTCTATCACTTTATAGTGATACAGCAAAAATCCACTTTTTTATACCCATTAATGCGCTAAATACAAATTTGCAAATCACACTAAGTAAACGAAAAAATATACCCAAAATTATAGATAGATACGTTGGCTTTGATTGGCTGTTTAATTTTCTAATTCACGCCAATTTCACGAATACCATAATCAACCTGTTCTTCGAATATCTTCTCTTGGTTAATAAAATAAATAGGCTATGGTGCAAAGTAATATTTATTCCCACGCTACTTCAAATTCTTATCAACGATTTAGTGAGCCTCTTTATAGTTCTCTTAATTAAAATCTATTTAAAGAGCAAGGTGATAAAAATAAAAGAAAGAGCGGTGGAAATGCGCCAACACAACGAAATCTTATCAATACTTCAAGCACTTTGCTTATCAACCAAATCAAGAATTGCACAATTACATGCAGCAGTAAGTAAACAGTACGTTTATTATAAACAACATATATAATATATAAGGAACGAATTGCACCAACTAATATTTAATTGTCGACATCGGTGAACTTGAAGGGGAATGGAATGGCCGGTTCCATGATGAACATGGTTTTGTATGGCTTGCTGGCATCCCGATTGAACTCCACCTGGAAGTTGCGGATCAACTTGGCCACACTCGTCTCGATTTCCAGATCCACAATTCTCTTGCCGATGCACATGCGAGGACCAAACCCGAAGGGCAGGAAGGTGAAAGGACTCACTTGGGACTTCTTTCCCGTTTCGGGATCTCTTAACCAACGCTCTGGTAGAAATTCATCTGGCCTTGAGTAAAAAGTGCTGTCCTTCATGAGCACATTGGAGCCCAAGAGAACAGTGGTTCCCTTGGGAACATTGTAACCCGAAAGAGTCACATCATTTTGGCAGGACCTCATTGTTCCCAAACTATTGGGATAATATCTGAGGGTCTCCTTGATCACAGCTCTTAAATATGGCATATCCTTCATGGTCTCCTCGTTGAGCAGAGTGTCCTTGGTGGGCATAATCTTCAGGAGTTCCTCGCGCAGCTTGGTCTGTTTTTCTGGATGTTTCGATAGACAAAGTAGCACTGCCGAGAGAAGGGTAGAAGTGGCATCCACGCCAGCAAAGAGGGTGTCCAAACCCATGACCACCGCCATCTTTGGATCGATCTCCATCAGCCGCTGCATCATACTGTTGCTGTTTATTTTCTCCCCCGCCAGACGTCGTTTTTCCAGATCATCCTGACTTTCCTTCAGCAGCTTTTGGGCAACATCCAAACTGTCGTTGAGTGCTTTCATCATTTTCCTGTAGGCGGGCGTCGATACAACCTTCCACATCGAAGGCTGAAAGTCGAGTTTGAATGCCAACCTAAAGATATTCCTCGTCGTCACAAAAAGGGTTAGCGCATCTGGATTGTCTCGGTTTTTCCTGATCAAACCCATTTGCCGATCGAAGGCCACCAGACTAAGTGACTCGAAGATCATTCGGCATATCTCACTCATGAAATCATCTGGTACTTCCAAAGTCTTGGGATCACGAATCTCCTTTATACTATTAATAATAATATTTACACTTTGTCTTAGTTTGCATTATCAATTACTTACTGTTCGATAAACTCATTATTGATGTTTGACAATGGTTCGTAGTACACTCTTAATCCTTTAGGTTGCATGAAAATGGGATTAACCGCCGACCGAATTTTTCCCCACTCCTCATTTTGTCTGAACAATGAAATCAGTTAATTATGAATTACATTTTGAAGATCTATATAACTTACGCGATTGTCAGTCCAGGGACCTCGCCATAAACATCTGGCCTTACATTCTGGCGAAAATGTATGATCGACTGAAAAGAATCGCGAACGGGCCAAATTCCCTCGTTGCGGAAAACCGTTTCAATATCTTTGGTGCTGAAAGTAGTAACCCAATCCGGGCGACCAAACATTCCGGGCAATATGAAGATATCTCCATAGCGCTTCCGCATCGTAGTTGTGTAATCCACAATGGATGCATTATAAAACTCTCCTCCGGGCATGAAAGCCCTCATAAATTTGAATTTCTTGGGGCGTGGAATGTCATCAAAAGACTTCAAATCCTCAGCTGTCTGTAATAGGCTTTTGTTCTCAGACTTCCAAAATATAATTAGATTTTATTAACTTACATTGGCATTCACCTGACTTTGTGCCACAGCGGAGACCGATCTCATGGATCGAATGGGACCTGTACATATCGCCAATGACCGTGCATTGCTCAAGGTGTTCATTCTGGTGTTCGACTTAGACTGAAAACCTGTTTCCTTGCGAATGCGTTCTTATAGACAAATCATATCTCTAAAACGTAAATTCAGGGAGAGAAATAAACAGAGAGAACGCCACACAAAGTAAAGCTTTCAAACAATAATAAAAGCCTGGCAAACACAGCATGACTTTCAGTTTCTTATCAAATAAACGGTCTATCACCGTGAATTACCCACCTTGCTCAGCAAAATATCAGACAAAATATAAACACGAGCGTGAGAACTCGAATAACTGGTCAGCAATTATAATGCTGAACCCAATACCAGTATACATATTTTAAAATGTAAAATTTTTTAATTAAAAAAAAATGTTTCTAAATTTGGTACGTGTGTTTAAATAATTTCTAATAAAATCATCAAGCCAATCAAAATGTCTAACACTTTATAATGATACAGCAAAATTCAAATATTTATAGCCATTAAAGCGCTAAACACAAAATTTCCAAGTACACTAAGTAAACGAAAACAGATACCCAAAATGATCGATAGATACGTTGGCTTTGATTTGCTGTTCAATTTTCAATTTCACGCCAATTTTACGAAATTAGCCGCTAATTAAATTTGCATTTTCCGATTGGCCAAATTGGCCAACGCAGTCATCACCTGACCAAAACAGCCGAAAAACGCCTACCTGGGTGGAACCATAACCGCTAAAGCGTCATAGGCCTCGTTTAAATGTTGTTTGGCTTTCGGTTTTGTCTCTCTGCGAATTAAAAATCAGTTTTTTGGAAGGAATTCCCACGACAGATAACAACGGTCGCGTGCTGAAACTATTAAATTTGTGCCACTTAAAGTAAATCTAATCTAGGTGAAAAATCTTTTAGTGTTTATGGATCACATTTCACAAGAAAGTATAATAGTTTCAAAGCCATTTATTGTTCGATATCAGTAAACTTAATAACATTGGTAATCGGTCAAATGAAAGACAACCTGCATGTTAATTTTCAGTCTTTTGTGGTTCTTAAGGAGGTAAAGAGGTAGTAATATTTTACCAAAATTAGCATCACATTTTTATACTTTAAATTAAAGTTTAATTTCATTTTAGCTAGTCAAACTAAAACTCTTGAGCTGCCAAGACTTGGAATGCCCTTGCCTCCAAAAACAAATTACGCCGGCGAATTGCAATCCAAGGAGAGGCTGTAAATCTTGGCGGCATTGTTGCACCATAACTGCCTGAGAGGCCGGATCCTGTGGACCATGGCTCCCATGTGCATAATCAGTGCACTCAGGCGGTTCACAAAAGGCGGAGCGCAGAACAGAACCCAGTTATGTTCAAGTGTCACCGAGGCTGGCCGCAACTGTCGGCAATAACAAACCCGTTGTCGAGTCGAGTCGAGTCGAGTTGAGTTGAGTGGAGGAATGAGCGGGGATGCCCCAACTTCCCAACTTCCCGACCTTCCGTCTTCCCGATTCCTGTTTTCCTGCTGCTGCTGCTGCTGCTCGTGACGCAAGGAGACGTGTTCCTGCGGCTCCATTTTGTACCTGCTACCGACATACATGGCCGCCATTTCAGTGCCTCCGTTTCGCCCATTCATTGGTTCTGAGTGCGTGTGGTCTCCGGTTGCAGTTCTACTCTACTCCGGAGTTGCCACTGCCATTGCAGTTGCTCATTTCTGTGCCACTGCCACTGACTGCCACATGGCCTAAACCGGCTGGCATCTGACATATCTCTTGAATCCATTGCTGAATTCAGTCTTTGGCTTCTTCAGTTTTGCACCCAAGCCTTCCCCCTTCGCCATCGCCTTTGCCACTGCCTTTGTTTCACCCGCCGGTGAAAGGTTTTTAAATTTCGAATGGAGCACCCTTGAAGCTGCCTTTGGCAAGTGGCACAACATCCTGCCGGGGCACACACACACACACACACACTACCACTGGCACTCCCACTTAACTGCTGGAATTTCTCACGTGTGCCGAGCGTCTTTTGAAGACCGGGTTTTGAGCGCATCAGGCGCAACGACTTGAAGTGTTTATATTCCATGCCGACAACTTTATCCACACCACAGATGCACTGCAAAAAAACATTACAAAAATGGAGCAATAAAAGCGAGAACATTTTTAAATTAAATAGTATAAAACCATTAATAAGATTAATCATTTTTCCTTTCCCTGAAATAAAGTTCAGCATACCCAACTAAATCTTTTTAGGTTTGTATAGTTATCATTTCTCTGTAGATTTATAAAATACTCTTATATCCCATTATTTATTCCCAGTGCACCAATAACTGCAACAGTGGCAACATCTCCTGCAACAGCATCCCGAACCGCAGGAGCAGAAGAAGGAGCAGGAGCCGGAGCCCAGCACACAGTTGCCTTGTTTATGGTAATTACTTCACAAATCCTGCAACTTTTTAATTAACTTAATTTGCTTGAAATGCAACAACTTCTCCTGCGTGCGTGCCTGTGTGTGTGTGTGTGTGTGTGCGTGAGCAACGAAATTTCAGCACAAAAATAAAACTGCATTTTATGTGGCCTAAATGTTTCTGCTGTTGGCCGTTGGCTGCTGGCTGTTGGTCATCAAATCAAGTGATTGCCTGGCACACACGACGCCACCTAAGACTCGGCAGGACATGTGGTTAACGCTGTTTTTCCATGTAATGTCACCCGGCTGACAACTCTTCGTGTTCGGATGCGGTTGCTGGGTGGTTTTCCAGTTGGGGGTTTTCCCACCCGCCAACGGGAGCCGCCCTTCAAATGCACCATGCGGCCAACGCACATTGTCAAAATTCGTCACTTGGCCAACACTCATATGCATGTTTAAGAGGGAGAGCGAAGGATTCTCCACCTCATTCTCGTCCTTCCACCTTTTCCTGGCCTAACACCTGGCCTAATGAGCTGTCAGCAGGCGTGGGTGCTACCAACTCGGCAAAGCAACCACAAGATTTTGCAGACACTTCTGGCCAACAGCACACAGACATCGAAACACTTTATATATGTACATGTGGTTTCCGCAATGTGTGTGTGTGTGTGTGTGCGTGTCTTAACATGTCTTGATTGCCAAAAACGAAGACTTGTCCCAAATGTTGCAACTGCAGCAAACGAAAGACCCACACCTAAATGAGGCTCTTGGCCATTTCTGTTTACGAACGGCCAACTAATTTGGTATAATGGATTTCCTGGCATCGATATGGCCATCGAGGCTGTGGCTCTTTTGAGCCTCCTGCAACAATAATAGTGTTAATATTCTGGAAGGGATTTGCAATTGCTGTGGCCGAAACGAGATTTGCAGAATGTCAAAACAGATCATGTACGACAAGAAATATTCAAAGCTATTTTAAAGCAATTAAAATTAAAAGACAATAAATAAGTTCATATTTTAATTAAAAGTAAAACAAATGCCTTTTAATAAAATAACCTTTTTTATGACATAATAAAGTGATATGAATTCTTCATGTATTTTTTTCTGAGTGTTGTTAAGCAAACTTTCCTTTGGTCGTATTAATGTCCCAAATGCCTTTTCATGCAATCAGTTGCATAGTTACGAAAAACCCTTTGCCAAGGCACTCCAAAATGGTATGGAAAATTTGTGCTTTGAACCCTTTTAATCGTGGGACCTTAATAAACTTTGGTAGGGTTTGGCAGATATTTTAAATACGATTTTCACCCATGATACCCAACCCACCAATCTGACTCACTTAACCACTAAATGCCCGCCGGTTAAGCTAAGCCCTTCGGCGAATTGCCTGTTTGATTGACCGCGACTAATTAATAAATTGTGGCAGTTCGACAATGTTTAACTTGGCTGGCCGGCAAAAAAGCGATGCCCGCATAGTTGACTTCACACACCAACACACACACACACACCCGTTCATTTTGTTGATTAAATTATAATAAGCGATGGCAGCTCTTCGGAGCTCTTAACCCCTCCATTCCCTCGATCTCGTTGCTTCCCTCCATCGGGTTAAGCCATCCCACCCATATAAGTCAACAATTACAATTATGCTTTGATGACCGTATGACCAGCACACATTAATTTATAATTTGTTCAAATTATAATTGCCGGCCGTAACTGCAACAACGCACGCCAGTGGCATTTGGGGCATTAACACTAACACCCTGGGGACATGACTAAGCCCCTGACACAGCATACGAAACGAGCTGCCCGAAGAAGAAGGGGGCCTCCCTCACTCGAATTTAACCTCTTCAATTGACCGGACTTTGCTGTAGCGGGCGGGAAAGGGGGGAGGGGGAGGTGGCATTGTTTGTCTGTTGACCTTCATGACGTCGTCAACAGCAGCAGCAAAAGCAACAGCAACAGCAGCAGACAAACAAACAAACATACGTTTGCGCACACCCATCTGCGATTGCACTCAAGGGTTGCACTCTCTTTCTGGCTGTCAGTCATTTTCCGATGGGGATTTTCCAGTTACCCGCATACCCTGTGTTTGTGCGTGAAAATCTTCGAAGCGATTATAATCCCTGAGAAAATTTTTGGGTTAAAAAGGAATACTCTTTTACTAATTGCAATTTATTGATAACAGCATAAGTGTAGAAATTCTGACAAAAAGAAAAACCCTACAAATTATGGTATACATATGTTTAAACTTTAACTATGGCTTTTCAGTATAAATAGAATAAATAATACTCCTAAGATTCATTAAATTTTGAAAGCTAAATTAAAAATTTTGAAACCCTTTTTTTTTTTTAGAATACTTTTCTGTTATTTAAACTAAAATTTTATTTCAAGTCAATATCATTTTTTTTTTATAAGCTTATATTGCAATATTGATACAAACAATAAAATTCCATAACCAGGTATCACACAGTTGAGTGCCTGCGTGATCGCTTAATTAACAGATGACGCATTCGATCTAAATTGAATTATTTACTCGATTTTTATGAATGAATCGCTCGTAAATGAGTCAGAGCACGAGCGTAAGTGTCGCAGCCGTAGTGCTCGAATATGTATCTTTGGTTCATTCAATAAATTATAATTTATGAGGCCGATGGGAGCGGCTTCTGCCAGTGAATTCCGGTTAAAAGTAACTCGCTGGCAAGCCGAGCTCATTAACTTTTTTGGGACACCCCACAACCCCAGAATTTTTGCCGCCCGAAGGTGGAGTTCAAATGGCAACCGGGCCGAAGATTTCTCAATTGTCGCTGTGGCGCCCGAGAGGGTATGACAATTTAATTAATTAACGGCACAGAACTCACTTTTCAAAATGTGTAGGGTGCTCGTGGCGAAAGGAGGAGCAGCTCATGATGGGACACACATTGACTTTGGCCCCTTGGCCCCCGCTTATTACAGAGTAACCGAAAAAGCCACAAACTGGATGTGGGGCAGCCACTTCTGTTGCTTCTCGAGTGGCAGCAGCCATTCCACTCCATACCATTCAATTCCATTCCTCATGATTCGGTGGTGGTTTCATCAATCATGGGAAGTAGATGTTAGATGTAAGAAGCAACCTTACCCGCAGGCGCCTAACCCTTCGATGAACTCATTGAACCCGAATATCACATTCTATGAGGGTCCCTGCCTAATTGCATTATTCGCTGTATTAAAGTCAAATTAACGGGGGCCAACATCACAGGGCCTACGAATCCAACTGGTGAATGTTTAATGGCCGTTTTGCTTTGATGTCTGCTGGCTATCGCATTTCATATTTCCCATTTCGCCATTTCACCATTTCACCAATTTTACCATTTAAAGCAATTTGCATTTATGTTTTCTAAAATTTAGCCATGCAGCAGCAAATAGAGTTATTACATGAAGTGGCCGTTTGGTTTACAGCAACGGATTCCACTGGCCATGGTCGCAAAAATGCTATTTCATAAGCGTTGCATGCCTCAAATTTTACAGCAAATAAACATTCCGCATCGCCGCATCCGATTCTTTGCGTATATGTATGTATTTGTATCTGTGCAAATGTATCTGTGTATCTCTGGAGTGTGTTGCCATTTGCCTTTGTGTTTGCGTTGTGCGTTTGTTTTTGCATATCTGCATCCAAAAGTGCTGCTCTCTCGGTTATGTGCCACAACAATTTCGTTGTTTTTTGTTTGGCTTGACATAAATTACAGCGACAGCACGCAAAACTTCAGCACGCATATTTCCCAGCAAAAGCAACAGCTACGGCTACGGCTGCTGTGGAGTTTTTGCAGCTTTCAGCTATTCGGGGCACAGGATACCGAAAACGCAGGCCGCAGGACCCAGGGCCTTTCATTGACATTCCCAACGCACACAGCGCACCGCGCACAGCGTTCGCCCTGGGTATATGTACATTTTTGTCAAATTTTGTCAATTTTTAAACCGAAACATATTTCTGCTTGCTGTCCCTGACATTCCATAGTTATGCTAATGCCAACATCGGGGGGAACGAGGGGGTGGAGACATCTCCCTCTGCAAAATGTCTCAAAGATTCAGCCAACAAAAGTGTGGCAGCAGTAAATTGAATGTGCCACAATTTGGAAAACAGGAATGGCGAAAGGATAACTTAACCAAAGAAAAGTGCAGAGCAAGCAACAGTTCCTGATCAAAACTAAAGGCCAAGAAATTTATGAAAGAATTTTATACTGAAAAAGAAATGTACTTAATTATGCTACTAATATTTAATCAACTTGATCATAAAGTAATTTTGCAAGCAACTGTTCCAAAGTTTGGTTCTTGAATTGATTGTACTAATTTTCTCTTTGTGTATCTGACAAAACAGACACTATCGAACGTGTAAACATCAATTTGCGATTAAATATTATCGTAAGTGGAAGGCCAACCCCTGAAACGCAAATCTCTTATCATGAACCAAAAGAAAGGGGACTTTGTGGCAAGAAACAAAGCATACTTATTTGGGTCACCCACGCACACACAAACGCTTTGCCTGTTGTCTGAGCACAGATTGCCGAACAAGTTGGCCAAAAAGTGGGGGAAGTGGGCAGGGACTAGACGGCAATTGGGTAAACAAGTCGGCCATGACTATATTTAGGTGTCCATCGCGTAACAATCATAAAACCCGTGCTGAAATAATAAAGTAGACACTGGTATTGCATAAATTGGGTTAGCACAATGGGCCAGAATGGATTTGGGCCAAGTCGCGTATTGCAGCACAATACACATATCTTTACGACTCGTCTCCCCCGATTTTCCCCAGTGAATAACGACCTTTCAGGGGGGAAAAACAAACGTGAGCGGCACTTGCAATCCACATGAATGACTCTTTCAGCCTGCAGGCGAAATTTCGAAGGGGCTTTCGTATGCTGTGTAAGTCGCTTTTTTATGACCTTTGGCCGCTCAAATATGTGCGTAAGATATGCGTAGATGGCCCTCGCCATTCGTTGACGTCGGGCTGAAGTGTCGCCGAGTGTAAATCACATTTACAGTGGTACTGTAATTGAATTAGGCCGTCTCCCCATTCGGGAAACAGCTGCCTCTGCAGCACAACAACATGAACAACAAGCACGAAGACAGAAGGGAATTTAATTTTACGTAAAAGAGCTCTTACTTGACCTTTTATCACTGCCTATTGGGGGGAAGAAATATGCTGGCTTCGAGTCATAAAAATCGGAATATAAAATTGTAAACAAACCAATAAATTGTAGGAATATTACTGAAATTATGCTTATTTAGCTTAAATAATTGGAATTCTACAAAAATAAAGTAAAGTAAAGAAAACAATTAAATAATATAAATCAATCATAATTTAAAAAAATTGTGTTTTTAATATTGTCCGCTAGGTGGCGTAAATATTTTACTATCGCCATCTGGGAAGTTTTACAAGTACGACAAATGTAAGATACATGTAGGGCTCATATACATGTCAAATAGCGCCAATCAAGTTTAGTAAAATTGCCACAAAAGTGGTTGAAGAAATGGCTGATTATATTTTATATAATATAAGAGTAGTGGAGAGAAGGCAGCAATGATTTCAACCCTTTAGGATGCGCTCCTGAATTTCCAAAGTAAGCAATTAATTAAAATTAAATTAATTAAAGTTACTTAAAAAATAAAACCACTTTTTAAATTGATTTTTTTATTTATTTGATGTTCACTGTGTTTAAGAACATGGAATAATACATGTGGTTCACGTAAACAACATCCGAATTGGTAATTGATTTTTAATCTGCTGCAATTTGAAACCTCATTTGGAAGCAAATCCATCTTAACTGTCATTTTCTATGGTCCGTGGTCATCGGGGCCAGCAATTGGTACTTCCTATCGAAATCAAGTAGCCGCAGTGTTGCCTTATAGGAAAAATCGCCAGGTGGCACTTCCCGTTTGAGATCGGCGAACTAAAAAGATCTTAAGACGGCGCCGCAATCGTTCGATTGATACATATATATTGTGGTGATCTTGTACGATATTTCCCGCGCATTAATTGCTTTTGATTTTGGCTGTGCGGCCGCGTAAACAGTTTGAAATGTAGATCACGATCACATGTCTTTTGGCCCGAAAAGGAAACGAGTGCAACAGACTTTGCCACTTTGGCCGGTGTGAAATAAATTGAGTAATTAGGCGGTGTCAAAGCCTGGACTTCGTTGCCAGTCCCAACCAACTGGTTTATCCCAAGATCTGTTTACTTGCCTTTTTGTCTGAGCAATTATTTACCCAGTTTTAGTTTGTCTTTATTGCATTTCGATTAGTTTCGAATGGGTTTTGGACATATTTGTCGCAGCTAATTAAAAATACGCCCCGCGGAATTTGCTTAGACTCGTTTCGGGCTTTTGGCCGGGCCTAAACGTGCACTAATTCAGTTAACAAGTTAATTTCCAGCCCGTCGACATTGGCAACCCTTAAATGTGCTGCTCAGCCATGGCAACGCGAATAACAAAGTTGCCGGCGGCCAAAACAAATGGTTACCAAATACCAATACAATACAAAGTGAGCTCACTTTGAAGTTAAGCTTTTCGTCCTCGCCCACAAAACGCGAAAAAACAGAGAAAACTAATTCATGTACGAACTGGGAACGGAGCAGATCAACTGCAACGGCAAAGTCATTGAATTGCCCAGCTTGGAGGTTGTGCGACCAGGTGAATAAAATCTTCGAACCTTCCTGAAATCTATATCGATATTGGTCTGTTGGCGTCTGTCCTTCGATTAGCTCCCAAAATGCCCAGCGATGCCAACATTGATTGGCTGCTCCACATTTATTTTACTCGCCGCGAGTTCACGCGCTGCCGGCGTCTCATCAAACGTGAGCTGAATCGCCATTTGAATCCCGAGTACCTGTACTTTGTCCAGGTGAGCTGGCCTGTGGTTAATGCCCGGTGTCATTTCTAATTGATTGCCTCCGCCAGGGACTAATTGACCGTGAAGAGGGCAACAACATCGAGGCGCTGCGGCATCTGCAGAAATCCGTGGAGCTAAATCCTCGAAACATCGAAACTTACAAGGAAATCGGGCGAACGCTGTGAGTAAACTCCAAACTCTTTATGTTTCTTATCAACTTTGCAATGCTTTTACGTTTTCATAAAAATATAAAGCTTTTCCTAGCTTGAAAATTTATTTCATTTTAAGAAAAATGTTTTAAAAGCTATTGAAGTAAAGTTTAACTAAGAACCACTAAAATTTGTAATGCACTTTTTAGCTGCAAATTATTTCTCCCCAAAACATTATCTTAACACAAAATAAATTTTGTTGAAGAGTTAAATCCAAGAATTAGTTTTGTAAATGCCAAACCACTTTCAGCTACATAATGGGACGCTTTAGCCAGGCTTTGGGAGTTTTTCGGGAGGCAGAGCAGCGGAGTGGCCGGCAGGACCACGAGATATATCACTATTTGGGGGAGCTGCTCTTTCGGGCGGCCACAACACAGGGCCAAAAGGAGCTGGCCAACCAGCAACAGGACGAGGCACGTGCCTACTTCGAACTGGCGGTGCAATCCGGCCGGAAGCTGGAGAGCTACGTCCGGTTGGCGGAGCTGTATCGCAAGGACAAACAATACCAGAAGGCCATCGATGTCCTGGAAACCTGCCTGCAGTAAGTGGCTAATGACCTGCGTTACCAAGCGATGAATGCTTTTGCCATTAACTCATTTTTAGTTTGACACCCGAGAACTCGGAGGTGCTGATTGAAATCAGCGTGTTGTACCTGAAAATCAACGAGACGCAAAAGGCACACGATCGTCTGGCGGAAGTCGTCAGCATCGAGCGAAGGTGCTCGCCCAAGGGACTTTTGGCCTTCGGCGCCATTTTGCAGGTGAGATATGAGATATGGATGCCTGTTTCCACAATCTCATGTACAGTATTTTATTTGGAAATCTTTTTCTAAAGTCCCGGAACGACGTCGACGGCGCCCTAAGCAAATACAGCCAAATCGCAAACGCTGAGCCGGAAATTGCCGAGCTCTGGAACAACATTGGATTGTGCTTCTTCAAGAAGCAAAAGTTCATTGTGGTAATGGAACGCCAGACGACGTTTGTCATTTCGGTGGTATTTAAGTGTTTAATAATTTCCAGGCCATTTCCTCGCTGCGCAAATCCGTTTGGCTTTCGCCCCTTAATTACAACGCACTGTACAACCTGAGTTTAATCTACATCGCATGTGAGTAATCCAAAACATAAAGACACTCACCGCATTTAACTTCCATTTTTTGGGGCAGCTTTGTGTACATGGTACTTGAATTTAAATTAAAGTCCTGTATTTGCCTTTGGGGATGTACTTTTTGGTGTTAAGACAATGTTGACAAGGTTGTACAGCAACAAATACATAATCATTTTCAGTTTATATTAAGGGAAAGTGCTTTGTGAGAAATACAACTTCAATTCAACACTTTTAGACAATCAAATGCTGTCAGAACATAAGCTTAGAATTTTGCCAGCATGCAATTTCTGCTGGAATCTGGTCAACACAATTTCGTGACAGAAGCACTAGAAGCTGGCCTAATGAAACCTGAATAAACAAAGACAATAGAGACACTAACTATGTGAGAAGGGTAGCACATAAAAGGCAAATATTCACTTGAGGCGGCAGAAGAAAACTAGGGGTCGGGGTTTTAATAAATTTCTTAAAAGTGCCAAGAAAAATCCGAGCCTGGGGCATTTTGTGATCCAGCATTGTTTGTTGCCATTTCTTCCGTTAAGAAGAGCATCTGTTCTTTATCCTGACTTGGCCGCAGCTGAACAATACGCCAGTGCCTTTCACACACTGGCCGCCGCTATAAACCTGCGCAAGGATAATGCCGAGTGCTACATGCTTTTGGGCCGTAAGTTTGTACAACTGCACTTGAAAAAATTTTTTTTCTCATTCTTATTTATCAATTCAGTTAAATTTTTTAATTTCTCTAAACGTTTGAATCGCATCCTTGAAAGTTTTTCATTTTCCGAGGGTCGAAACTTTGATCCCTGTTTATGTCAGATTTCTCCAAGTTTTCGTTAGTTTAATGGTTTATTATTTAAATTATTTTTTTCATAAATTTAAGGTATTTTTTAACTGTAGCCATATTTTATAAAATTTTGACCCTTGTTCATGTCAGATTTGTTTTTTTAAGTTTCCGTTAGTTTCGTGGTTTATTATTTGAATTATTATTTGTTACAAATTTAAGGTTATTTTTGAAGTGTAACCATATTTTCTTAAAATAATACACCTTCGCTGGACAGTGTTCCCCTTTTTCTTAAAAAAGCACACCCCTTCATTCGCCAGTGTAGCCATTCTGTTGAAATAACACAATCCTTTCCCCGGCAGTGTGTTTGCGTAAGCTGGACGACGTGGAGAACGCGTTTGTGGCCCTGGAAAGGGCCAGTAGCATGGCAACTGGTCAACCGGGCGGCGGCCGAAATCCGTTGGTGGTGCTGAACTTTGCCCTCTTTTGCTACGAAACGGGGCGATTGGCTTTAGCCACCGAGCAGTACAACCGGTTCACCAGCCAGGCGCAGGATCTGCTGCTGCCCACGGAAGTAAGTCGCCCGCAATTCGAGCACTCCCAGTGGATGTACGCGGTGGCACGTGAATAGAAATTCCGTCGCGTAATTGGCCACCAAGTCTAGCAAAATTGAACCCGATACCCAAACATTCCACGCACCGCAAGCTCTGTGGGGAGCACATCAGCACATCCCCTAAAATCTCCAACTTATTGCTCTCTGTTTCCTGCAGTACAAATTCCAGGCGACCAAGCTGAAATCCCTTCTGCGTATCTCGAATCAGGGCAATGGCATCCTGCTTGATTCCACGGACTTGGAGGAATCTGATTTGGGACAAAATCGAGCCAGGGATCTGCTGCCGGATGAACTGCCTTTGGAGGTGAATGCTGTTGTCGCCCAAAATTGATTATACTCGTATGTGGTTATTAAAAGCAATAAATGTCACCCTTTTATGTAACTCACATCAAACATTTTATTTGAAAGTGTTCACAATTATTTATAAATAGTATAAGCGGCTTAAACGGTACACTTAATTAGGGTTTCAAAAGAGCCAATGTAAAATGCATTGGAACTCAGCGGAATCCAGTAACTAAAGTACCATCAAAATAGCAGTTGGTAATTGTTGCCAAGAAGAGAAAGCAACTCGGGGCTCACGGAGTTTTTCCATCCTCTTGGCACAGCTATAGTTATATCGAATGGATTCCTTTCTTAAGACCTTAGTGCAAAGTAAATGTCCCGTATTTGTACAACTCGTACTGACTTATCCTAACGAAAACTTACATAGTAACACGAATTTGAAACACCAACTGGTTAATGAATAGTTCTTAACACGTAGTTTAATTGGAAATGAAATGGCACTTTCTAGACAGCCAAATCACAAGCAGAATTATTTTTGGGAACCGATCGATGCACATATAAGTACTTAGAGAAAATCGCTTTGGATTTTGGTTATAAACCATTTTGCAAATTAATTGATTCGTGCATCGGCCAGTGTTTTCCTTAATTCCACACTCACAGTTTCTTTTTTTTCGTTACTCAAGCCAACGAAACTTTTATAAAGTTTTGGTTTAGAAAATTCAAATGGAGATAGGCAGCGACATCTTGGATGTCCTTTATCTAATCCCAGTAAATCTGTATTTTTTCAAAATGATCCTTCGTTCAAGTCGTAATCACATCTTAAGGACTCCTTTCCCAGACCGATTTAAACACAGGTTGTAGTAACTCTGGTCAACCTGGTCATCTCGGTGCTGCCAAAGTGCCGCTTCATGAAAAGCGATCGGAAGGTTGTGCGGAACTGCTTCGACATCAGACCATATAACACGAAGCCTATGGCGGCGTTTATGAGTGCCAGGAGATCCATGATTTCCCCAAAGGGCGGGTAGCAGTGGGCGAAGAAGCACTTTTCCATCACTCCGGAAAGGAGACCCAGTAACCCCTGCGGGAATTCGGTGATCAGAAACAGAACCAGAACTGCCACCAGGAGAAGGGTAGTGCGGTCATTGCGGCGATCACAGCGAGGAGGCCTAAAATAAAAATAGGAAAAATATAGAAATCATAAATATTACTTAACTAATCTATGTATTTATTTATACACCAAAAATTAGGTAAGTATATAATTTAATGTTACTTTTTATTGAGGACTCACTTCTTGGACTTGGATTCGTTCTGGTTGAGCTGGATGGCATACTTGGCGGGATTATTGTAGTCTCTCAGTTTTAAGCGACGTCTGGATGCCTCACATAAAACATGCATAAGGACTGCACTGATCACGATTAATATGCCACATGGCAGCAGTTTGATGAGCACGGAATGTATCCAGAAATTAAACCTGCAATAATTACAAACAAAGATAAATAAGAAGAAATACAATTTATACTAGAGTAGTCTAATATTAACCAGTTAAACTTTTTCCTTTACATTCTAAATAATATTTAGAAATTCTAAGTATTTATTTCTTGTGTAAACCCACCTGTAGAGCGCCGAGTCCTTGTCGAAGTAGACGTGGTACATGGCCTCCGAGTTGAGCCTGTCGACATCATAGGTCTCTCTCACGTTGAACACAAAGTACGTGGGCAGGCAGAGGATTGGCGAGAGGATGAAGGGCAGGAGGATCGCCTCCCGGGAATGTGCGAGCAGGAAGTTGGCACAGCCCCCGTTCGGATGTCTGTGGAATAGAGACGGTAACATTTGGCTATAGGTAAACAAAAGACGGGGGAAGAGAAGAGAAGCCACGTTGCCACATTGATGTGTTAGTCAGATTAGCCGGATGTCTGTGCGAATTGCGGATGTGGATTTGCATGGATGGTGAATCGGTACCAAACTCTACATGGATGGCGGGGTATCCCAGGAGAAATGTGCATGCTTTCTCTGGCTGGCTGGATCTGCTTACCTGATGGCCACGTAACGCCAAACCGCCAGAGTCACGGTCAATCCAATCGAAATCGTATGCAGGATCTGGGTGAAGTGCATGTGAACCAGCAGACAAACTGCCCACGTGTAGCTCAAATCCCTTTCACCTTTAGGAAGAAATTAACTCAAGGAATTAATCACCAGGTTTTTACAAAACAAACTTATTTAAAATCCAATAATATTTTATTTTAGCTGGTTAAGAAATATGGTATAAATATTATATATTATAACAACTTTCTTTAAACTGCCTTTTTATGGATTTAAATAAGTTTCATTATTTTTAAGGAACAATTTTGATATAGAACAGCTCACCAGGTTTCATATAGATGTACTGATACGACGTGTAGGGTATATATTCCAGCATCACAAACATATCGGCCACCGCCAACCACTTGAGGATGTTATTTATGGGCGTCTTGGCCATTTCCTTTCTGGTCAGCACCATTATGTTCAAGATGTTTGCTATTGTCCCAAATATGCAAATCTATGGATTCGAGCGGAGAACAGGGAGCGACATAAAATGTGTTATTTATAAAAGCGAAACTTCCACTGCTCGCACACTTTCAATTGATTGCACTCCCCCCTTTTCTCACTCGAATTCCGAGTGGATAAATGTTTTATTCATTCAGCTCGTGAGCTACGACACAACTAACTTGGGACATTGTATTTACATTTTTCCCAGCATTTCCAATTTCTTTGGCATCTGCCAAATTGTTACCATTTAAGCTGAGGATAGTGGAAGGGTGCTCCTTTATAAAGTTAGAGTAAAGGATTTACTCTACAGATTCCTTGAATGTTATCCTTTCCCTTTTCCGGAAACCATTTATTTTAATGTTAACTGCTCTTTAAGCTAAAAATGTGTTGTTTACATGTACAAAACAGATTCATTGGCCTTTATCATGTCAAACAAAAAAAACAAGGCAAAAAAACTAATGACTGGAAATTAGAATCAAAAAGAAAACACATTAACGCCTTAACCACATCAAATATAATTTGTATCCCTTCAAGAATTCGCTTAACGGAAGCCCGAAACAAAAACAAAAGACCTAGATTCCAGCCCCTTAATTTGATTTGTGATTTTGCTGGTTAAACTGAGCGGACCGAATAACTTTAATTCAGAACAAGGGTATAAAAAGGACCGAATTCCCTCGAATCGGGCGAGAGTTCAAAGGTAAAGCAGTCCCTTGAATTCATCAACAGACTGTCTGGAGGAAAAAAGAGAAAGAATTCTTGTCGGCTGCAATCATGAAACGTCTTGGCTTTCCCCGCTCATCATTAGTCAAAAGTTTCTATTGTTTTCCTCGCCCCACAAAAAAAAAGAAGGCATGTTTTGGGTTTCGGGGGAGCTGTTAACTCACCATGAGGGAAACGTATCCATGGATGCTGTTGTAGGCACGCAGCCAGTTGTAAATTTCCCCTTGACAATAGCCCTGGCACTCATCCACCTGGGGGGTTATGTTCTTCATTTGATATTCTTGCCATAACTTCACGAACTTTTCGATATCGGTGTTCGTAATGTGATAGTCCTTTAAAACACTCTCGTTGAAAGGTGTTCGATGCTGCAAGTGGGTCTGACCCATTTTGCTAATGGTGTCCTGCATCATTGCACGCTGGTTTTTCCCTTGTTATGCTTCTATGAGGAGGCTGAAAACAAAAACAGATTTTTTATTACACAGCTGAAAATTAGAATAACCATAAAAGTTGATTTAAAATATATTTTAATAATATAAGACATACTGAAGTCATTTAAAAGTTATATTTATAATACATAGTTATAAAATCAAAAATTTTTCCATATTAAAAATACTATAGTTTTTTTGTGTGCACGTTTTCATTAAGGGGTTATATACCTTTTTGAGCGAAAAAAAAGAGGGAACTTTGGATTTTTTTTCAGGTGTGAAGCAATTATTTTATGATACTGAGGTTATTATTTATTGATAGTACATGTTTTTATAGACACAATAAACGTTTAATCTTAAAAAAATATATATAACTTTCGAAGTTATGGCAATTCTCTCATAACCCTTTTTTTTTATAGCGGCTTGCGGTGACCACGATGGAAGTCCAGCGGGTCAACTAAAATCAATAAACCAAAAAAATTTTATTAGTTTAGTATTATTTCTAGTTCGTCATTGAATTACTTCAAGAATATTTGGTTTTTTCTGCATACAGTAACAATTTTTTCAAAAAATTGATTTTTCGAGCTCTAAAAATTTTATTAAAAATTTCTTATCTGCAAAATCGAAATTGGCGCATAAAAACTGATTCAATGACGAACTCGGCACAATCATTACGAATATTAAAAAAAAAAATTGAAGAAGATCGATCAAATAGTTCTTGTGCAATCGCGGTCACAGCAAAGGCACTTTTGGAAAAAAACGACTTTGAGATAATCGCATTCAAAGTTTTACGTTGCGTTACAAAGAGTGACGAACCGCCCCTCAAAACGCTGTTTTTCTATCGAACTATTATTCGGATCTCTTCAAAAATTTGGGAAAATGTTCTCTAGGGGATATACTTTAGGATTCAGCAAAAAAAAATTTTTCGTTTTTTTTGAAAAAAAAAGGGTATATAACCCCTTAACTTCAGTTTAGAACGGGTAAATTACCTCCCCTGGGTACACCTGTTTTTGTAGAATTAATTAGTTCTTGCGGCTTATTAGCTGGCAAACCAACAAAGGCAGGATTCCCAGGGGCACCTTATTTATTCGGTCATGAGCGAAATTATAGCCAGATCAATGGCAATGTAAAGCCGGCCTATTTGCACCGGTCAACATGCAAATAAGCCTCCCTCGCTACCGTAAAAACAATGACGGCTGACAAAAACTTTGATTTTCGAACTATAAATGGTAGCCAGTTCTCCATGCAGTTGCTCCATTATGGTTACGCGGTGTCGAAATACCTGGCGAATGCCAATGAAACTGTGCAGCATAATTACCAAAACGTAATGCAATTTTGAGTGGCCAAAGTAGAGCTGAGCTCACTTGTCTACCTGCGATTTAAAACTGCCTGGGCGTTGTAGGCAATTAATTGGCAAGGCACTTGGAAAGAAATCTAAATCGATATATCCACTGGACCATAATGCACAGAAATAATTTAATGTATTATAACCAGATATTGTCAATTACATCGTTAGGTACCCACATAATTATTTGAAAGCTTAAAAGCTAAAAAGTATTGATAAGGTTTTACAATATTAATTTATATATCACTGTTCAAATAATTAATTCTTTGTTTGGTTTTTTATGAAAAATTGTTTTATTTACAGTAGAATAAACTGATTTTTATACGATGAGATTAAAGCACTTATTAATAAAAATTAATTTGTAGAACACCATAAACATAATTTTAACCTGTAAAAATCGTACATTTATTTATCGTGTAAAACCATGTCCACTTTTTCGCCGGTTAGCATATGACACTGCTGCCCGGATCACTCAGTTGGCCAAATCAATGTCGACGTGTCCACACGTCGTCAAAGGTGTTTCATGCGGCTAATGGCCAGCGACGAATCGATGTGTAAGTCTGAATCCTGTTCGCAACATTTCGACATTTCGCAACTCCACCTCTTTGCCACCTGATTGCGTTGCCTCATAAAATGCATATATGTTTTGAATTACTTGCCCAGGTCTGAGTGTAGTGTGATTGGGCTGGAGCTCAACTGCCAGTCGAACCAATATCTGTCAGATATTTGATGTTGATCGATTGGCCTTTCGATTTCGTCCAACGCGTATACGCGTAGTGGGCAATTATGCGTTACGACCGAACATTTAATCGAAATAAAATCTGACCTCAAAGGCTATTAAAAACGTATTTAATTGGCAGATGAATCGTTCAGAGCGGAAATGAAAGATATTAATATCCGGAAAAGTCGTTTTGACGGTGCGCAGTTAACGCTTTAAGTTCAAACGGAATACGACAGGAACTGAAAATCCTCATTTCGATTGCCATCTACTTGTACTTTTCATAGGCCGTAAAAATTCGTTTTATTATATAAATGTCAGTTGGATCAATCGAAGTGTTAAGGTCACCGCAAAGTATGTACTGAGTAAACTTACTTGATATTTACTGCCAAAACCTAATTAAGATTTTGTACTTATAGCATTTCCTTCATCAAGGTAACTTGCTTTACAATGCATTGTTACAAAACCTTTGAGAAATGAAGAACAAAAATTAATTATTTACCCAAAGCAAAGTAAGTAAGGTTGCTAAGTAACTAAGCAAATCCTGGGCATTAGTATATTGTTTCAATTAATTTTGAATCTTTATTTAATAAAACTTAAGCTTTGTGTGAGGAGCCCCACAGCTGCAGAAAATTATCTATTTACCTCCTGTTGCCCTAAGTTGTTTTTCTTTTCACAATCGTACGGCCTTGGGGGATATGTCTAAACAGGTGGCGCACCCACAATCTGCCAAGCTCCCAACCCCCCCACAAACCTGCCAAACACACACACTCACACCCACACCAACACACCCACAAAAAGAAAGCAAAATGGCGCCATCAACTGACATCTGCAGATAAACAGCAACGGCACTCCAGGCTTTTCCTTTTCTGCGGCTGTTTCTCTTTTTCCGCCATTCGCGAAGTCGTTAATTAACGTTCCGCTTGTCAAATATGTAGACATATATATATGTGCGCTTTTATTCATTTTTTTTATTAGAACATTTTGCTGCGGAAATGCGAGTTAGAGAAGGAAGGACTTTTATCAGATGTAGCTCAGGACATAAACCCTCCCGCTGGGCCAATTGACTTGAAGATACGACAGCTTAGCTCCCAGGCATTCGTATCCCATAAGAGAGCCTAATTATGAAGTCCGTTAAGTGCTGCAACTACCATTTAATCGCTCCATATAGCCAAGTCTTTATTGGATGCCCTCTACCACCTTTAAAAGTCAATTTTCAATTAGCCTAGGTAAACAAAGTGCCTCAACTGTCAACCATTTGTTGCTGTCGGCGTTAAGTGAATGCGAAATGGTTTACAAATTGTTCAAATTATTCCAACTCATAATGAAATTCAGACTCATACAAAATTTATTAGGCCCATTTGTCATGGCCTTAGTTAGGCAGCTGTATGCAAAACCTTTTTGCACTGATTTTCACAGATTTCAGTCTGAATAAATAAAATCCTGTTTGCATTCGCAATTTGCCAAATAAAATGTACGAGTACAGCTTTTATTAGCCTTAAGTGCTTTTCATTAAACAAATTGTATTGGATTTAGGTTACATAGATTCACAAAACAAATGTTTCATATTAAGCTAAAACCGTTAGTTTCCGAAATATACAAGTATATTAAATTTGATGATTAAATTCTATATGTTTTACATATTCCACAGGAAAAAGGGTAAATTCGCAAAAACTTTTTACACGAATTTACATTCACAATTTGCCAAAAAAAAAAGTGTATAGCTTTTCTTTGCTTTGAGTGCTTTACTTTAAAAAAAATGTATTGGATTTTGGTTACATGGTATTATTACTTGTCACTTTGTAGGAAAAATAAAATCCAAAAATGAAAACACAATTTTCATATTAAGCAACATCAATTAGTTTTTCCAAGGAACAAGTATATTAAATTCCATAAAAAAAACTATATTTTTTTAACAAATTCTTCAGCAAGGATATTAAATTCGTACAATTATTATAGCTGACGAAGAGCATTCCCCATCGCTTTTAGACATTTCCACAATTGCTCACAAGTGGCTAACCGAAGAATATTATTGTATTTTATGGTTTTGGCATTTAGTAGATCGAATTATTGAGATGAACAAATGGACAAATGCAGCTGCCGATAAATTATAGCTGCAATTGACACTCAAAGTAAGTACTCCAAATAATTTGCTGAATTAAAAAACAATTTATGTTGACTGACTGTGGCGTTCTGTAAGATACTCAGATACACTCAACCACACATATACACACACATTTGTCTGTTTTTTTTTTTTTTTTTTGAGTCGCCTGGCTTGTTTGTGCAATTTTGGCTTGATGTGGGCATATTTTTCTCAATGCGTGTCTTGTACGCAATTTTTACTTTATTTTCGGGCCTAAATAGTTTTTGCCTAATGAGTGCGTTTGACTTAGATTTGAGTGAGTTTCTAACAATCCAAGCGCCGCACTCCAAACGTATAAATAAAGTGGTTCTGGCTGCCAGCGTCGTTAGTTGAATTAAAGCGTTTGCGTGGAAACAGTTTCGAGTCGAGTCGATCCGGCCATAAATCATAAGTAGACCAAACAAAATGAAGTTCACTGTAAGCATTGGCAAATTCGAGTAATTTATTTCGAAAAGGGTCAAAGGAATGCCCATTCGAGCAAGCAATTTTAAAATATCTGCATATTTTCTGTTTCTCCCCCTCGCTGAACGGTAATGGGAAATTCCTCGAAACGCAAATAGCTGCTCCTGCTCATCGCCAGCCTCGCCTGTATCCTGGCCGCACCCGCTCCGGCCGCCGAGGAGCAGCAAGAGTCCGCCGTGAAGGCCAAGCGAGGCTTGTCCTTGGGGTTGGGCTACCACGCCCCACTGGTGACCCATTCGCACTACATCGCCGCCCCGACGGTGGTGCACCATGCCCCAATAATCTCGCATGCACCGCTCATCGCACACGCACCCCTCATCGCCCACCATCCGGTGTCCTCGGTGTCGTATCACCTGCCCACCTACCACTCCATTCACCACTTCTAATGAGGCCTGAACGTGACAAGCGAAACTCCCATATCCCGCAACAGAATTCCCAGAAATCGGAATCAGCATCCAATCCCAAACATTTTGTCCCCTTTTGCTTTGTAAATAAACATTGATGTTGAGCCACTGCGGTTGCCTTCAAATTGCCCTTTATATAAGTGCGGCAAGGATTTTTGTAACCATCCATATACAAAAAGAAAAAATGTTGCCCAAACAGCAAGTGACATTTGAATGCATAGTGACCCAATTAAACCCCAACTTCTATTTTGTATCCAAGCCCCGAAATAAAAGCAGTTAAATAAAGAGTTTGTTGGTTATTAAAAATAATATTATAGATTTCATTATTTAAAAAAAATTAGGAACTTACAATAAGGTTTACCAACTTTTTCTTACCAAAAAATCTACATAAAAGGAGCAGAACTTTTCCTTAATTAATTTGAATCAATTTGGTCCAACCTCTTTTCAAAAATAAAGATGTAATTTAACCATGTTACTAAAGCTGTAATGAGAAGTTCCGACCGCAAAAAAAATATTTGGGTAAGTGAAATTAATATGAAGCTCAGTACCTTGGAATGCCAATGGAAATGAAGTTTGTTTTCAATTATAACCACGCCCATGATATTTTTCCTGCCACGTGAGTACATACTCGTACATACATAAGTTGCCTTTCCGTTTGTAACTTTAAGGCCACCCAACTTGGTTTTTGTGGCAGCTGGCAGATTTAATCCCAGTAGTTAAACACTCATGGTTAGGGCACGAGAGCCCGACATTATAACCATTAGCCGGCTAAATGATGTCCATGATTGCACGGAAATGCAGTTGGTTGTCCTTTACTGAAGCATAAAATGCAGCCATTTCGTAAAACACAGCTTTGGCGTCCAATTAAAACGGGTTCACAAAGCTGCATTGCGCTAGGTTACGATGTACTAAAAGCTAGCGTTCCTCTTATATTAATATTTTATACAAATCTTTATTGGCACCATTTGTTCTTTAAAGGCCATTTTGCACTGAGAGCTGCTTTTAAGCTGTCAGCTTATAAACTAACATTTAACATTCATCTAATAGTTTATTCGTTGACTTATTGGCAAATCAAATTAAAGACGGAAATTTCTATTTGCTTCGATTGTGAACTGAATTGAAATCAATAATGCATTTTATCATACTTAAAACTTATCCATTCATGCAAACTGAGAAATACAAATGAAAGCATTAACATAATTCATGCAGCTTTAGCAGTCAATTAAAGTCACTAACTATTTGAAATTTATCAAGCTTTTTATTGTTTTCCTCCTTACTTATTTAGTTTGAGAAGTTTACAAGTTTGTAAAACTTTTACTTATTTTATTTTGTATTTATTACAAATGTGATTTATTTGCACTGATTTCTTTTCTACAGCTAGGGAAACTTAAAATCGTTGAATTAAACAGAAATCCGCAAAACACCGTATCCTGAATTTTAGTCCGAGAAGCTATCGCTCCAGTAGGTGGTGGTGGGTGGGGCGACGGCCTTGAAAAGATCGCGTCCCTCGCCAGGACGACGTTTGCCCTGTCCGTGATGGCCCATGCGCTCCTCCTTGATGCGCGGCTCCTGCTTGATGCGCGTCTCATCCTTCATCCGGCCGCCTAACTCCTCCTTGTGCCGCTGACAACCGATGGCCTGGTGGCGCTGCAAGCGCTGCTGAGTTAGGAAAGTTCGCTGGCAGCGCTTGCACTCGTAGATGAATCCGTGCTCATCATGTCGCTGGGCCATGTGGTGCTTCAATTCCGCACGCAGCCGGAATATCTTGGGGCACAGCTCGCAGCGGAAGTGGGCCCGCTCCTGCTCGTGCCGCTGCATGTGCGTCTTGTAGGCCCACTCCACCTTGAACTTCTTGCCGCAAATGGGACAGGCATGCTCTATCCTTTCGTGCGTCTTGCGGTGCAGCACGTAGGACTGTTTGCGCGAGAAGGTTAGATCGCAATTGGGACACTCGAATGGACCCACGGAAGCCGTTGATGAGGGCTGGTACTTCTTCTTTTGGGCACTGGATGGTTCGCCATCGCTCTCGGGGCTCCTCTTCAGCGGCTTCTTTCGCGGACGTCCGGGTTTCTTTTTCTCCTTCTTCTCACTCTCATCGGAGTCCGCGGAATCGCTATCGGCACTCGTGGTGCCGGCCACATCGGATACCTTAAACTCATCGTCGAGCTCGTCTTCATCCTCACTGGAGTCGGTGACGGGAGCATCGATGACCACGTAACCGCGTGGTCTCCTGACTTTGTTCTTGCTCCGGGACAAGCGCTTGCGGAGGTCCTGGTCCGTCATCTCCAGCTGCTTTCGGAGCTGTATGGCAATGGTGAGGCTGCCCATGCACTTGGTGCATATGAACTGCGGCATAAAGTCCTTGGGCAAAATCGAGACACTGGGACAGATGACCAGCAGCAGATCCGCTGGCGTGGCATCGATTTGCTTCTTGAACAGATCGACCAGTTCCTCCTTGCTGGTGCAAACGCGGCACTGGTTCTCGTCCACGGGCTCCTCCTTCTTGCGCTCCCGAACGGGTAGTTCCTCGCCAAGCTCCGCGGGTTCATCACCAATGATAAGTTCTCCCTCGGCATCGGTGCCGGTTTCAAACTCTGGGTCAATCTCCTCAACTTCTTCGATCTGCTCGTCTTCTTCCTCGCCACCTGACTCCTCGTCTCCCTTGGCAGCTTCTTCTTCATCCTCTGGATCCTCTTCGCCATCTTTTTCATCATCTAAATCTTCCTCCAACTTGTCTGTGTTGTCATCGCCAGCGTCTTTGGCTGCTGGACTCTTTACTTTCTCATGCTCGTCTGGTGTTTCTTCTTCCTCGCCAGACTTTTCCTTTAGGACATCATTTTCAGCAGAAGTTTCATGCGAATTCTCCTTACTCCCTGCTTCCTTCGTCTTCTCCCCTTGGGAAGCATCTAGTCCATCGGTATCCTCATCCTGCGGCATTTCACCATCTAGATACTCAGCCTCACCCATTTCCGCGTCCTGGTCCGCTGCTGCGCCGCCATCCTCCTGAAAAATTAAGAGAACATACCTTTGAAGACCTTGTTTTTTGTTTTTTTTTTTTGTGTTGTATTTACCTCTAGATAATCTATAATCTGGCCGACTGATTCAGAGACGCCATCTTCGGCGGTATCCATGGATTTAGCCACTTCCCGTGGCTGTTGCTCTGGATTTCCCACGGTTTCCCGGGGATTTTCGCGCTGCTCTCCATTTGTTTCCGCCATGGGCGTTATGTCGGCTTCCATTTCACGACTACTTTTCTTGCTTCTTGAGAGATATGTTTTCAAGGAGGCGGGGGAGTCTTCTTTTTTTGGCGGGGCACCGGCGACTTATGCGTTTTTTAGTTTTCCTTTTGAATTTCTTTACACGCACTTGTTTTTTCACTAGTTTTCCACTTTCTCTTCACTATTTCACATTCCTGGCTCTCTCTTATCTAAATATTTAAGCAGAAAATGCAGTTTTAGATGCAACTTTTCGCAGCGTTACAATTTTTTACTTGCAGCCATATTGGATAAGTATAGGTACACAGCTGTTTGTTAGAGGTGGAGAAATATTGACGGCAACATCGATGACTGCAGTTACTATACTCTTTGCATATTAATTGACCAACAAATAAAAATTAAGAGTGCCAAAGAACATTTATTTTTGCGTTTCAACAATAATGTGGTTTCATAAGATTTAATATGGAGCATATAAAACGTTCATTTATATAACCGTCAGAGCATTAGTATTCTTGCCCGCTTCCTTGATTCCACCTCTAGTTTGCTGACGCCTATCGAACCGCGTGCGCATGCCCGCCGTTAATCGATAGCAGACGCAGGGTTGCTTACACGGCGCAAAATTTAAAATGCAAGAAAATGTGTTACTTGAAACTGGCATCAAAAAATTTTCTTAGAAGTCAAACATTTTTAATGGCTCCCAAAACCGTAATAAAGGAAAGCAAAAACCTTTATTCCTTTGAGTTAAGCAAAACCTACGCGCGTGTTTGCCATAAAATGGGGCTTAAAACTTAGCCTTCCCTTACCGCCCAACCACCCAAAAAACATCCGCTTGAAACAAAAAGCATGTCGTCTTGACTTTTCAACACGGCGAAATAAAAATTACGTGATTTGCATAATTTTTCCGCCCGCTGTTGTGCGCATTTATTTGATGAATGCCATCTTACATTTGGAACATCAACGATTCAACACTTTCTGTTTTTCTCTTTTTCCGGAGCACTTAGTCTGGCTTTTACAATGCCGCAGTGCCCAAATGTTTCCATTAAAATCAATTCCCGGTATAAGAGCACAAGCCACTTTGTTTGTGTTTGTCTTCAAATAAGCAAACACATTTCAATAAAGTGCCAGCCCACCGATTTTCCACCCAACCAAAGGAGCGCGGATGACAAGGCCCCGATATTTATTTCAATTATGTGCCCTGGCTACCAAGAAAAATGTCCGCGCTAATGCGCCTGATTTTCCGTATGTCACTTTCAACGATTTCAGACAGGCTTACAGCTGCTGAGTTTACACTGTGACAAAATAATAGCCCACATTAATTAGGAGTTCATTTTTTTAACACATTGTTATTACAGCTTTGCAAATATTTGTGTAATTTATTGTTCCGGCCACCACCTAAGTTTACGAAAATCCGCAAATGTCATATATTTTCATAGACTTTAGTAACTTTGCCAACGATAAGAGGACGCGTTGCTTAGCATAATTTGAAAATTTGTTTTACAACTTTTCTCCTTGTGGATACTTTGTCTGTCTGGGTATTATTTCTGTTGCTCTTCTGCATGATTTACGTCAACAATTATCGCAGCAAGACGTGCTCGGGCACCTACTTGACATTAACATCGTTTTCCGACTTGGGCTTTATCTCCACCGCCTGGCCTTCCCTCTAGGTCCTGTCGACGTGGCTGGGACCAAATCGCTTATGACGCCAGGATTGCACCGGCGAAGGACCGCAGAGCGAAAGTAAAAAAGATAAATATAGCGGCTGGGCGTCTGTGGCAGTGATAAAAAATCACGGCCATGTCAACTGACACACAACACACAACACGGCACAATTCAACTCCCGGCGGCGTCACACAGTGATTAATTATGCATGAACGTCGCATCCCAAAGACAAACAGGCAGCATATGCTCCTCGTTTCCTTGCTGAAGGCTTAACATCCTGCATAAGGAAAACATCGTTCGTAGCCTTCAAGGTACGCTTTAAATGCCATTAAATCTACGTCAAATTTAACGTATAATATTTATTTTTTCTATTTTTTAAATTTGCATATTAACCTTGATAAAAACAAAAACTTCCTGAAAATGAGGGGAATTCTATAAGGGAACCACTCTGGTGGAAAAGAAATATGTTAAATAGCAAGCAAAGAAAACATAAGCAAATGTTCTTCCTACACATGAGTGAAAATCACTTTTTTTTTTGGTACAATATTTGATAAAATAATTTTGTTGACATTATTTATTTATAGCATACATCAGAAATGTTTTATTAATCTTAGCGTAGATCATCCTGTGCGCCCTTCATCTCACCTAGGGAATTCAATTTTTCCTTTCCTGCGTGCAGATAATTCTTAAACTCAGCACTAAAGGTAATTAGGAGGGTTTTCCCCGATGTCACTGTGTAATTCAAAAAAGCAAGAGTCTTTGAAATGCTTAGTACCTTCTACTAACAGTAATTCTTATTCTTTTTTTGAACTAAAAAAAATAATAAATAAACTACTTGGAACAAACTTTAAGCATTTTTTAATTTAATACTAAAGGAAACAATTCTTTGTTTCTTTAACACACTGTTTTACAAATACAGTATAATTCGCTTAACTGCATCGAGTCGATTGCAGTGATTTTGGAGGCAGCTATCTTAAAAAGGCAGCTAACGTAATTTTTATAAACTGTCTAAAATAGAATGAATTTTGAATTTCGTCTTGATTTTTAATTATACGGTTTATTGTTGATCTGTCACACTTGTATTTCGTGCAGAGAACACTTTTATCAACTTTTTCGCTGACAGCCGTAATAATTTGGAGCTTTTCTTTTAAAGTTAAGCCAACCAAGCGCTTCACTTTACCCATTTTTACGATTAGGAATGATTTATGCACACAAATGGCACGATCAAAACAAACGAAAAACGGACATGCGCAAAGAGATGCAAGCGTTGCCATATGCACAAAAAAAGATACATGATTAAAACTCATAAATTTGTTGTTTCCAAATTCGAATCCTAGATGGCGCAGTTAAGTTGGATGATATTCATAGAATAAGACAGTTAAATTCTGCCGAAACGAGGCACTTAAGTGCGAAAGGCAGCTAACTTGAATGCAGCAAACGTAATTAATTTCATACAAATGAGACCATAAATGCAGAAAAAAATAGAAATAAGGCAGTTATCTTGACGATGCAGCTAAGCATCGAGGCAGTTAAGCGAATTATACTGTACAATATACCTTTTTTAAAAGAGGTGGGTATTAAAGACAGAGCAATTTGCTCAAGATGTCGCAAAAGCCTTGGTTTCAATAGCAACTGAAGTTAATTTAAGTAATCCAACTTTGCCCGTGGGTGGCAAAAAGAAGATAATTATAACCCTTGTTTCATGACTAAAAAAACTTTTTTAAGATTACAAGTATATTTTCTTCTTTTCATATTAAACATTTGAATAGAGAAAGTACATCCACACTTTTAACTTGATTAAATGTGCAGTTAAATATAAAATCATGATACTTAATTAGTGTAAATTAAAAGTCCAACATACCAGCAATTCAAAGTTTACTTTAATAAAAAAAATGCAAACATTTTTATAAAATTACTCGGTGGAATAACCACATTGCAGTCTAATTAAAAACAGCCACATTAAAAAGCGAACATCTCTTTAATTGGCCTGGGAAAAATAAGAATTTAATCTGGCTTTTGGCTTTAGCTTTCAGCACTTGTAATTAAATAATTAAATGACTAACAGGCTGCATTTGCCAACATTTACCTTCTGACATTTAAATTTGTTTACCTTAAACATTTTCTGCACATGAAATGAGAGTTCTGCGGTTGAGAATTCTCTGTTCGCAGAAATAAGGAAAAGCCAGCCAAATTCTTTATTCGGTTTGTGTTCTTTGATGTAAAAACTTTCTAGATCTGTAAGATACAAGCTTGCCAAGCTGATTCAAGAATTTACCCAAGTCTTTTGTTTATCTACACAGAATTTAAGAATTATTCCTTGCTTCGATGGTGTCCTGGGAAATGCAAATTACATTTGAACATGTTACCCTGGCGTTTCTGAAGCTCATGTAATTTGCAAACTTTTCGCCAGAAGCTTACAAGTTACCAACAAAATTAACTTGCCAATAATGGGATTTCCACCTGCCAGCTGAGAGTCTGATCCATCATTACAACACGTCTATGTCAAGGATAAATCTAAATATTCAACAACATACATACATGAGCCCTCAAAATGCCTTACAAAATGCTATCAACGTCGTCTGCTTCTCAGAATCAAATTCGACTCATCAAAAGTCGAGGGAAATGGCAAAAACTCAATTAAAATGCATCGTTGACGATGACGAGAATGCAATGACACACCAATCGATTAATCAACATCAGCAAAGAAAACTCGTACATAATTAAATAGAACACATTTTCCTGGCAGCAAAGACCTCTAGTAGAAACGGAACTGACAGCCTAAATTAATTACCAAGTACTGAGAACATAATTGTCTACTTGTTATCATTTATCTTTAAGCAGGAGCTTCCGGCAATATATATGTAAAACTATTAATAAGTTGTATAGGATAGGTCCCGCGGTTATTTGTTATCTATTCTTATGGCAATTGTTTTTCATACTGTACGCTAATGGTTGCCGTAATTAATAAGACATTTATCAAATTACCAAGCTGGCGTAAATTCTGATGTCAAGTTTTCGGGCAGTCATTTAAATTTTTGGCATAATCCGTTCGCACATTACGCATACGCAGCGTGTGTCTGCCTTTGGGAAAAACAAGCAATGAAAATGAAGAAATTCAAAGGGGAACGTAGATATATAAAAGAACATATATACTTAGTACTTTTTTGTGCCGGCATATAATAATTTATTAGAGTATAATTTAAAAAGCCCTGGGGTAACATGTTTACTCTTAGCTCTTATTTAGCTATTTTCACTCGTTTATTTTGCCTTGCTCGGGACTTAAATACACAAAGCTAATATATATCCATGAATAGGGTGCGTATGGGAGTCTGATTTGCACACGACCCAAATTGGACGACCAGGGATACAGATAAAGTACACAAGCACAAATTATGAATAGACGTAAGTATAGGGCTCAGTGTTATTAATACGAGCTCGCACTCGTTCGATGCCATAGATCACAATTATTTGCGGGTCGGACAGGCCAATAAACGAAGCGATAAGAGGCTTTACGGGTGCCTCATTAGCCACCCGGCCCCCTTCCGCCGAAAGGTATTGCCGTGAACAATTGCCATGTGTCAGACGGAGCTTCTCTTTTCCATCCGGGTTCCTTTCCACCGGGCAGACACGCAGCCATCGGAAAATATACGTCTCTCTTTTAACAATGTTGTCAATTGGGCACGTGTTTGCATTAGCGGTGTACACTGTTCACATCTTTATTTTGGCATTTCACGTCTTAAACTGATTACTAAAGACGGGCCACACAACAAACGCGCCTCGTTCCATTAAAATTCCAATTTCAATCAATTTTTTACAGGCATTGCCAGACGTTCTCTGCCCGGTCTAAAGATGTTTAAAAATTTTGCATAAATTCTGCGGCAAATTTTTTGTTAATTTGCCGCCACGCCACGAAGAAATTCCCGAGTTGACGTAATTTATGAAACGTACGAAATACCAAAATTTTACTTTCTTTTGGCCTGCGTTCGAGCGGCAAATTAATCGAACCGGTTTGTTTATAAATCAGCATCAAACAGCCAGCGGCAAATGGCGACAAATAACCGAACGATTCTCTTATTTGTTCTTTCATGTGGCCGACATAATTTTAAATAGTTGGAAAACCCCAATGCGTCTGGCCATCCACATCGAAAAAGAATAACACCAAAACAAAACATAAACAGAGATTTTTTAGTCGCTTTCGTACAATGAACTGTCGTATTTGTGTTATGGCAAATATATTCTAGAAAAACACACACCGTTTAAAACTAGTAAAAGTTAATTCTTGGGTGCTGACTTTTGTATACCCAGCTTTTTGAAGATATATATAAACTTGAATTACAATTATTTCTTTTAATTATAATATTCTTTCAAAATATTAAACTGTTATTAAATGTATAGCATATTAAATGTATAATATATTAAATGTACATGTGAATAAAACTAGATAACTTACAATTTATATCTTAAGTGTACCATTGAAAACCGACCCAGAATTTTTTATAGAGCAACTATAGAAACGCAACCTTTATGCCAAATATAAATATTCAAAAAGATTATTTATTTGCATTTACTTTTTGAAAATTATTCTGCATTGTTATGCTTTCCTTCTAGGTGCTTTGAATTCCCGACACACATCTTTTGTTCTTTTGCGAAACTTGTTTTCCCGCTTCGAGTGCGGACATTCCCCGGATTAAATATCGCCATAGAAATTGGTCGGCCACAAAACCAAAACAAGAAATTCAATTTTAAAACAGCTGCTTCAGAACAACCTGCTCATCCCACAATCCGCTCTTCTCTATTTTATCGCGATGTTGGCTTTCATTCATCCCGGTTTTTTCGAGTATAAATAGCTGCGGTCGCCGCAAATTCAATTAGACTCCAAGCCAACCTCAAGAATACTAAACCAAAGTCCCACAATGTCGAAAATCCTTGCTGCCGCCTTCGCCTTCGTCGCTATCTGCCTGATCCTTGTCAGCGCCGCCCCCGCCCCGCCCACTCAGCTGCTTGACGCCCAGACCGCCATCCAGAAGATAATCGGTAAGTTGAGCAAATAGTTCGGAGGACCTGTCAGCGGTCTGACCTTATTTCCTTCCTTCTTTTTTTCTTTCAGCTGCCTACAATCGCATTCCAGGACCTTCGGTCGTCCACCCATGGGAAGTCGCAAGAGTGATTGACCCAAACACCTTCGTGGCCCACTTTTAAACACATACTTACCCTGCTACCTGACTACCTTAACTAAAATGCCTAAATAAATTCTAACGATATATAATTTAAACAAGAACAACAGTCTCGTATTATTAATTGCCCCAGACAGGTATTATTATGCAAAATACCATTCAATCATTCCCCACAGCTTCCGAAATTCGAAAATTAATTAGTGTGCACGAGGACAATCTGCTGAAATTGAATATGTTTAAGGTGACTGCTTAGCTTTGTCCCCATAAATAAATTGACGTCATAAATTCCAAGGATAATTTAAGTTAAATGGGAGCCAAAGTCGTTCTATTCGAATTACGGAGTCACAAAGGTGTTATTTTGCAAATGAGGTTTCGATATTTCGTTTAGCTTCTTACACTTCATTTGTTTGTTTTACTGAGATGTCAATTGCGCTGAAATCAAATAGGCTTTTGGTGAATATATAAATGTAAGCTTCTTTAATGGTTTTTAAATTTCCTTGTGGAACGTTAAATAAAAATATGCTTGCAGGGTCTTAAATACGTATTGCCATAAAAAACGAGAGTACAATTGTGTTAATTGCCATCAGAATACCAGCTTAATTGAAGTCAAAAGGAATAATTTATTCTTTTCTGTACGTAAAACATGAAAAATGTTTTTTCCTTTGCTTCGTTAGTAAAAAACCGAATTAAAAGGCTGAAAATTGTAACAAAGTATTTATTATCCTTGTTTATTTGCATCAATACTTATTAAAAATATAAACTAGTAAAAAAAAACCAGTAGTTAAATGGAGCTAGGGGTTAAAAAACATAATTCATAATAAATAAAAAAAAAGAAATCAATTAAAATTAAATTATTGAATAAGTTGATGTGTTATTATGTAACAACTAGAAATAGTTTAAACAAAGCATCAACATAGTTAACTTTCACACATAGATACACAAAATTCTAATTGGCAATAAAATTGTTCAGAGAAAATATTCATACCCAAAAGCAAATTGTTTTTAAGCTTCTGACCAAAAAATACCCGAAATTTCCTCGTCCACAAATATCTCTCTAACAAAGGTGGCTGGTTTCTCACATAACATTCTAATTGTTTTGAATTTTGCTAGGAAAATATTCGTAGCTCTGACGAGTTTGGTGCCCGGAAGGGGATTTCCGTTTGTGGAGTGCACAAAGTTTTGCAACATTTGGGCTGCAGATGCAGAGCTTAACTAAAGTTGAGTTACTCAACTCTCGAGCAAAGTTTTTCTAGCCCCTGCGACTTATCGCGTGGCAGAAGTTTTCTGGTCATTCGCCTTTTTCCCCGCATTTCGCTCCAAGGACAATTTGATAATAAGTGGATTACCAAGTCATACGCCAACGTTATCGTACCCAGCGGAATCTCATTTTGATGCACGAGATGCTCGAGTGTTTGGCCAACTCTTGAGTCTGCAAAACGCGACTGTTCTTGGCCAAGTACTTGAGATGTGCAATATTGTTATCTAGCGATACCACCACCCATTGATCCGGGGGCTTTAAGTCAATGCCAATGTCAATGCCAAAGTTAAAGCTCCGCCGATATTACATATTTGCAAAGCCCCATCATAAATGCATTTTAGATAAGTGCACGGGGGAAATGCAAATTGTCCTCGCGCCAAACACTCCAAAGCTAGCCAAGTGAAATAAATTGCCGAGCCGGCCATAAAAGCTCGTGCATATGGGTTGGATACCGTTCTCATTCTGAACGCTCCCGTATTTGTTTTATGGCCCACACACATGTGATATGAGACTCTGTTTCATCGTCAGACAGGAGCTGAATAATAAATAGGAAGCGCAATACTTGTGCCCCAAAGCCAAAATCCAACGAGGTCACTAAAATATAAACAACAGGAGTTTAAAAGGTCATTTTGTTGAACCTGATTTTTCAATATAGATTAAATTTTGTTTTAGGAACACATTATTTTGTTAAAGTCTTTTTAAATGGAAAATGAAAATCCTCATTATCTGTGTTTTATACGGAAAGTATGGATCAAATTATCTGTTAATGATATGTACGTAATTGGATTTCCTGGATATGCGGATTCATTTGATTTAATTTTTAATTTGATTTATGCCAAGAATCAAATGGAATTTGAAATTAAAACTGTGGCTATTAAAACTAATTAACAGACAACGGATGAAGCAGAAAAAAACATAAAGGTTCTTCAATTTAAATAATTTTTTTTTTCTAGCATCTCACATAATTTAGATTTCATATGTAAATACTTGCAAGCCTGAACAAACATTAACTAGTATATCTTTTTTCCCTAGGGGAATATAAAACTAAACCAACTAATATCAATCACAATTGCTTTTCCCCAGGCAAAACTTTTTAATTACATATATGGTTTGGTTCGTCGGGTGTCGCTTATTTGATTTTAGTTCGTAATACACAAAAAGGAAGCCAAGGACGTCGCATCAACAACAGCCTCCCTCATTTCCCTGCCAAAGTGACCGCACCACTAATAGTTCCTTAATTGGTCCATATTTACTAGTTCCGCTTCGGCAAGTTTATTGGTAAGCCCTAACAATTAATTTGTTTGCGTGGTCGTCTAGGTTTTAATATCCCTGACAGTGGGATTTTACGAGCGTATTTTACGACTGTCTTAGAGCCAGCATCTTGGCCAGCTGTTGAGCTGCCAAAACAATGTTTATCTCGATCAGGGATTCCCAGTGGAATGCAGAAAACTGGGTGGCAAACCTAACGAAGCACAAACCCAATCAATTGGGCGACAGAGAAAGATTTCATGCATACGCCAGTCGCATAAATTTGTTAACCGCTTTCAAACTACGTCGATTTGGTTCGATTTGCATTGCAAATCAGGCCCCCCTGGCCCCATTCCCAGTACAAAACCAATATAAATAGACCGTGACTTACCTGCCATCATCTGAGCGACTCCTAATCTCGCCCACCATCAAGCCGAGCGGCTTTAATTATGCAAATCAATGGCGCCACAAGAACGTGCTAAAAAAAGAGACAAATAAACATATAACAATTTTAGAAATCTGATAAATATCAATTTCAGGCGACAAGTTAATAATAGCAATGAGGCTTGACTTTAAGATCCATTCGACTATGAAATACCCAATAAAATACTGTGTTTCTAATATATTACAGATGAGGTTTGAGTATACATATCCTCCCACGTAAATTCGCCGACTCAACTGACAGATTTACAGAGCAACTCAGCGAACTCATCCGTTATTACTTATCCAACATGTTTATAATTTTTTTAATATCCTCCCATTCTACACGAGTACCCTGACATTCAAGCAAATAGGGTGGACCCTATTGCTATCTAAGTAGGGGGTGCACATGTTTATATTCAAATTCCCGCCATATGGTGGAATATCAATTACCATCAGACAGTTACCACCATCAGTCAATGCCTTCGTTTGTTTTTCTAACAGGTTTGTTGGTTTATCGCACACACAGACACATTAGCCTTATTGTTTGCTGTACAACAAATTTAAACAACAAAGCAAAATTAATTGCTTGGATTATTTCGAAAATTCCAATTAAACCAAATAAATAACAAAATTTGAAATTATGGTTTCGCTTTAAGTATTAAATTTCTCTTGTGATACCATGTTATTATTCAATTCAAAAAATAAAACTAATTTTAGCTCAATAATTAAATATGCAATATTTGCTATTCATTTAATATTAGCTCAATAATTAAATATGCAATATTTGCTATTCATTTAACCAACGAAAACAAATTCGATGAGGCGAGAAAATTCGGCGCCCAAATGTATGCTTCAAAAAGGTCAACAAAGAAATCCTTTCGCATCATCAAACGCAGTTTGCTCAGCCCCTGTGCACACATATAATATCCAAAGTGCGAGCAAATGCTTTCTTGAGATTAGCAGGTGATTGGGTGATTGGGCGTACATGTATCAAATAAGCCACATTAAGCGAACTCTTTGGTCGTCCTGGATAATGGAAAAGTTGGCGGAAAACTCTTGAGGTAAGCAGATTGCCTGACATGTGCGCATATCGATGGCCATAATGATCCCCAAAAGGGGGAGATGTAAAAAGATGCGTTAGCAGCGGACACGCAACGTTAACCTCGATGATGGGTGACAGTTTTTCCGGCATTTAAAGCTCATCTCAGGCGAAATGTGCCTGCGAAAAAAAATTTTGGAATTTTTTTTTATTTATATTTTTTTTTTTCAATTTTTTTAAAAAAACGTGGGCTTAGCCATCAAAATTGATGGCTCACGGAGGCCAGTAACTTATAACCATAAACGAAACTGATGCCTGATGCCTGCTCGACAATGAGTCCTTTGTTCCACAGCGCAACGACCGTAAAGGACCGGCTAATAAAGGAAAAATCAAATAACAATCATCGCAATTACACCAAGGACATGTTGCAAGCAAAAAATTCGAGCTGAACTGTGCTGAACTCGTCTGCAAATACCGAACCGAGATTATTAGCATAATCCAATGGCTCTTTTAGTTTTGTTGGAAATCAAACAACCGACAACTGTCGCCCGGGTCAAGAAACTTTAAGTGAATTTTTATTAAATTTCATACTCGTGTGTAAGTTCTCTTGGGCAAAGTTGCCTGTCAGTTTAAATTTGAAAGTCAATGTGGAATGTAAGCACATACATTTTTGTAAGTGTCAAATTCAATTTATAAGTTCATTCCGAATGCCAAAATCTACATTTCTAAGTTATTTGTGCTTGACTTTTAAGCATTATACGATGCATATTAAATTTCAAGAGAAAATGCTGATGACTTGCTTAAACGTCAACATAAATTTTGTTGTGCGTCGCAGAAAAGCAAAGGTCTTTCTTGTAAAGTTGTGAAATATTCACTTTTAATATATATTAATACAAAAAGTTATGTCCGTTGTACCCTTTTGCTACCTTGTTGAAGTAATGTGTTTCTTTTAAATTATTCAAATCCCAACGCACTAGACTCATCACTTGGCATTTTCTTCAGCCTTTTTACTGTCGGGTTGAATTTAATTCTTATGTTTATGCCTCCCAGAAGTTCCAAAGGCATAAAATTGAGGAAAATATTAAATTTATCTTAGATATAAGGACCCTTTAAAGAGTTGCAGTCAAAGGGAAAATACACAGCAGATACTGCAAACAGAGAGGGCGATTTATTACAGCATTTTTTCATTTGGATTCCCTTTATTCCATTTTTATTTCAACCATAACGGCGGACACGAAATAGTCTACCATAAATCAAAAAAGCGCCCTTCTCTAGCGAGTTGCTAAAACACCGGGTTCCGACATCCTGGCGACACCTGTCAAAGAGCGTGTTCGTCCATAGTGGACACCAATTAATCATACGGATCTATATGTATAGTATACATTAACTGCACCATATCCGATAATACGCGTGGGGAGTGCCCACTCAACTTATTAGATTTTTTCCACAAGGAACCACCGCTCAGTTTACGCTTTACATAATCTATTTGACAGCAATCAGGGAAATAGTTTCGCAGGTCATTCGAGAGCAGCTAAGGTTACCTTTTTAGCCACAAAGCCCCGATATTTTAGAAAACAGAGTGGCGTACAATTGAAATGAAAGAACATTTATTACACAACCCGCAGCTATCGGAAAAACAAATCAGATAAATCAGATACGCCCATAACTCGGTCGACCGTCGGGATTTGACGGTTTTTGTTCCTGGCAAGTGACAGCCAAGTTATGGTTGTGCACGATTCAGATTTATGTTTGATTATATAAGCTTCTTGGCATTTTCGCCGGTTCCCTGTTCCCAGTTCTCGTTTGCCTTCCTTCAGCTCAACTTCTTTGTGGTAACCCGCGCCATTCCATGAAGAGTAATTTAAATCGTGACCCCCAACCTCAAAGCGCAAAATGCTCCCGAAAGTAGTTTATCCCGTCTCTTCGATAAATTGAGTTGCGGTGTTAACGCTTTGACAGCTTTTAACAATGCTTTGCATTTGCTGATTAAAGTTTATTGATCTAAATAACCACCCACGCAGTGAGTTTTGCGTCATCATCACGCGTGATGGTAATCGGGTTCATAAAAAAATAATTGTTCCTAGATTTTATTTTGATTACCTCAAGTATATCAAAAAAAAGATTATAACTTATTATTAAAATTCATTTTCCGCACTCTTTTTATTCCATTCTTTTTATTTTTCAAGTTCAGCTACTTCACAATCTTTTTGATGGCATAATCGATTAGATTGCATGTAATCCGTCAACCAGGCAACAACAAAGGGTCATATTTTGCGAAGTCATGATCGAATTAAAGGTGTATTCAAAGAGACGCAATAAATAACAAGGCTCCACAAAAGGCGAACTCTTTGGATTAAAAATTGCGTGTTAGACAAGCTCAGGAAGGTAAATGGAATATGGGCTTTTCCCCTTTGTGTAACGAGGCTTTTGCCAATTCATCCAGCTCCCGTCTTTTATTACGCCTTAACTTATGCAAAAAAAAAATAGTATGAATGGGGTAAGGAAAACTGAAGCTTTAACTTTGATATGACTCAAAAGATTTAAAGGAAAATGCAGCATGGCAAATGTAAATGGGACTCTAATTAACAGCTGGAAGCGGCCATTAGACTTAATCAGCTGCACTGGATCTTGACAACAATTAAAGACAAAGACGATTTCACTTGCACAGGCTAATTAGGCGTAATCAAATTAGACAAAAAGTTAATAAAGTGTGTGTGTTCGCTTTGTCTGCCAAGTTTGCTGAAAAGCCGTCATAACAATCAGATGATCACACTGGGTTAATTATCGAGTTGTTTAGGGGAAAGCAGACAAATATTTGAAGCAGCTGCCAGAGATTACTTGGCAGCCAAATCCTGCGACTTGAGGAGAATCAACAAAAGCCATAATCCAGACTGGCAGTGCTCTATGAAAAATTATGCAAACGATGCAGATCTTTAGAAGGGGCAACGCGAGGTCCTTGGCACTTCAAAAGTTGCCAACATTTCTGTTTACAATCCGCCACAGCTATATCACCATCGTGAATTCCGAAGGCTCTCAACGCTTTGCGATGTTAATTTTATTTCATTTCATTATGTTGAAGTGTTCACTTCGTGCGCTTTTCTGTGGCTTAATGCGGATTTTTGCCTTAGCTTTTCTAACGAATCTGAACCTGTACCGCTGAAAACAAATAGTGGCTGCAAGATCTTTGCGAAAACAAAGAAATATGTTCAGCCACAATTCCGCTAGTGGCATACATAATACCTTCCGCTGTCTTTTAGGCCATCCTCTTAGCCAGGTTATCTCCCCTTCCCCCCCGTAGAATCCCCTCATGTGGTGAGCTTAAAAAGAGCGGGTGAGTACACAACTTTTCAATTTAGACAGGGCACAAAGGCAGAGCCGAAAAGTAAAGGATTTTCATACAATTTCGCTGTACATTATACAAAATACCACTTAAAACATTCCAATGAAAGCGGTGAGTGTGGTTGGAAGTTCTTTTTTTTGCATTCGCCTTTCCTTTTGCGTTTTAACTTTTCTTCCCTCGAATTTAATATATTTAAAATCACCGAAGGGCGGAATTGTGTTTGCTTAGCTTTTAAGGTTCGTGAAGTTAACGAGACCAATTAACTTCAGCGCATAACAAATGAGCACATGGTAACCATTTCTTTTCTTAAATTTATGGCTGAGAAGCCATTAAAAGCCACAACATATTTAAAAGAATATTCGACAGCACTCACAAAATATATTATGTTATATATATTATAAACTTGTATTCACACACAATTGTCCTTTTTTCTTTGTTGGTTGCAATACTAACGAAAATAAATAATTATAGTAAAAGCTTAAAGTAAAAAAGTTCAAATAAAATTCCAGCGAATCCAAACTACAGATCCAGTCAAACATTCCGCTATGGCTGATTGTGTACTTAAAATTTTATACTTAACGTCAATAAACTAAATTGGATGAGAATATTTATAAATTTGTTTACAATTGCTCGGCGAGAATGCTGAATTTTTCGCTCAAAATTAAGTTGAGCGTTA